CTGGGATTTGAATTTCAAACGAGGCGCGAGACAATTGAAACTCGACGGCAACTGTTTCTTGGTCTCGGCTCGATAGTGTTTTCCAATCGTTTTTAAATCACCTCTTTCTCTCGGCGCGTAAAACTTTCCTTAAACGATCAAATTTTATAGTTCCCATAGGATTCTTGTTATTTCAATGCTTACTCGGCCCGTTTTGTTTCCGTATATCGATGTGTTGATATCAATAAAATGGATATACCATCGATAACGGTAAACTTTTTTCTCTTTTACAACAAAGTTCAAGAACACTATTACGTTTATGTCTCTCTACGTGATTAATCACCAACGTATTATATGGGCATTAAGTAACCACTCAAACGAATAGATCAAGGTTTCGACACAGAATATTAACAAGGATTATGCGTTAATAAAAATGGATTAAAAGTAATTCAACGTACATATATACAGTAGTAATACATGAGATACGAACAGATTAAATATAATCTGATTTGAAATTAATTGACTGGTAATGTAAGAATAAATTTTAAGATGACTGAGGATAAGAAATTTGCAAACAAAGTTGCCTATATAATGGAAATATTAAAAAAAAATTCTTTGTATTCAAAAAATTATGTCACATTTGAAGAAATGATTTTCAATATATCCAAAATTATTTAAATTTGCTACAAAATGCTGTTTATTTCATGGTGATATCTCAATTTGTCTTTCAGATATGGCTTTTTAAAGAATGATGTCTTTTAACCTGAAATTAATTAATGTGGTAATGCGGAGTTGAATACAAGGAATTATAACAACCACATTTGAAGAATTGAAGAAATGATTCTCACCATATCCAACACTAATTAAATTTGCTACAAAATGCTTTTTATTTCATGATGATACCTCAATTTGTCTTTGAGATACGGCTCCTTAAAGATTGATGACTTTTAGCCCAAAAGAAATTGTTATGGTTATGCAGAGTACAAGAAATTTTAACAGTCATATTTGAAGATTTAAAGAAATGATTCTCACCATATCTAACATCATTTAAATTTGCTACAGAATGCTTTTTCGTTCAAGATGATATCACAATTTGTCTTTGAGATACGGTTCTTTAAAGATTGATGTCTTTTAACATAAAATCAATTATTGTGGTAATGCAGAGTTGAACACAAGAAATCATAACAACCTCAACATATCCAACATGACTTAATTTTGCTACAAAATGCTCTTTTTGAGATATGGCTTTTTTATATCAAAAATTAAAATCTCTCTATTGGCAAAAAAGTTAAGATGGAGACATTTAGTGGGTTATAAAAGATTCTTAAGATATTTATTTAAATCCTACTCTTTGTCTTGGGTGTTGACAAAAAAGCTTGGTTTTTTACCTATGTTGTCAAAGGTTCTGAAAGGAATTCTTAAAGATCAATTAACGATATTTATTACAGCTGGGTTTCATCGTCAACATAACTATTTCGTTGCAATGCTAATGGTCATTGATGACATTCTTTCGAAAGCAAACAAAGAAAACATCTTTTCGCAAAGTTCTTTACATCATTTCGCGCCTTTAGAAATAAAGTGGCACAACTCAAATAATAGTGTTTCTAGGAAAATAAGACATAGCATGGCATTTTATGATTAAAACTAAAAATATTCAATTTTTAAGATGTGCCACTTTATTACTTAAGGTGCGATTTGTCTTTGTTAGATTTATGATTTATCACTAACATTATATGAGATAACCTATATAATGAACAAGTTATTTAACACTAGCTCTGGTACAGAATTGTGAATCGTTATGAAGTTGTAGTGTTCTGTTTGGTAACAGCGGCCCCAATGGCTAACACGCCATGGTACAACACACCCGGTACACGTAGGGTTCGTACTGATAACATTATGATGAATAGCGAACTGCAGCTGCGTTTTAGGAGCGGTGTGCAACTCGAGCATCGAAATTGAGTACGCGAAGTGGCACGTTACGTGCATGTTACCTTCGAAATTTCATTACGATGACAGAACAAACCGTGCGTTCAATTAATAACGATGCTGCTCCGAGGCCCTTGGGGTGTAGAAGAGGGTTTAATTGGTCGCCGGAGAACAACGTCCGATATATAAATTTATCTGCAAACTTTAAGGGCGTAAACTATATCAAACGCGCATTAGCGAGGCCCTCCCGACTACTATTTCAGCCGGCAAGTTTACTCTTGCATGAGCCATTTAACACGCATCTTTGGCGAGAGTCGACGCCCTTATCTGTAATATACTCTCTGTAAAGCGAGCTTCGCGGCTTTGCTATCTTCGTACAGCGTACGCCCGATTTCGCTCAAACAAATGGGACAGGTGCAGGTCGTGTTTACAAATTGTTGACGAACAAAAATGATTACGTTATCCAGCTGAATCGTAAATTCGGTAGAACGGAAGTTTGCGTTTCCACAAGCAAGATTGGGGTCTAAGACTTCCTTATTTGATGTTAAGGTGTAATAAATAAATATTATTTTATAGTCGTATTACAAAATTGATCCCTTTCTTTGTCTGAGGTAAAAACAAGTTGATTTAGATAGGATCCACGAGGGAAAGGAAGAGGACGCTTAAAGAAATTCAAATGGAATGCGCATAAATTCCAAACGACCCTCTCTAATATGATAAAGTAGTTTCCGAGAGGGAATGAGAACGGAGACATGCCGAGGTATTTGTTACCGGAAAGATGGGCTGACAAACAGCGTCGAGGACGACATCTTCAACCAACGTCCCTGATGCGGTTGCGATTGTTTTCCTCTTTTCCCCGTTTCTTTCTTTACCCCCACAGAATTTCCAACTTCCAACGTGCCACTTTAAATTCTAGAGTTCACCGAAGTGAGACGTTGACTTCCCGTGCGAAACCCACCGATTGGCGAGAAAATTAAATGTAAATAATACATGGACTAAGGTTTGAGAAGGCGTTGGTCGTGGACGACAACGGCGTCGAAGAAATCGGATCGATAAGTCGTCTACAACCCCCCTTGATTGGGTTGGATGAAATTGAAAAGTTACGAAAGGATAAAACCGCGACCCGGCATCTCTTCTCTAACTCCACGGAAACCGGGCGATACATCACCTTCTTTGACATAAATGCATAACATCCTGCGATGTCTCAAAAGCGAAATTGCACGCCGAATTGATTTACGAGATATTCTATAAATTTTGCGCGTGAAAGTTTAGACGCTTGTGTTTTGTTTTCATGTTAGAAAGTCCTCATTGATTGCAGAATTCATACCGTCTAATTATACTCTATTTTTTAATTCGAAGAAGTGTTTTCAAATTGAAGCGCCAAAAAGAAAGGTTGCAAAAATTACACTAGGAAAATTCAAGATGTTGCTGGCCACCTAAAAACATTCGGGTTTAGTATTAAATCTAGTCTTAGTTCTAGTTTTATTGTTAGTTCAATAAAAATATACAACATAGCAGTATCTTATGCTAAGTAGAGCTACCTACCACTGCCACTAGAACTAACACTAGACCGAGAACTAGAAACATTCGGATTTAGCCGCATATTTTTCAAGACGGCTAAACCCGAATGATTCTAGTTGTAGGTCTTGTGTTAGTTCTAGTGATAGTGTTAGTGTAAAACTAAAACTAACATTAGACCTAGAACAAGAAAGTTTCGGTTTCAATATTTTCTAGTTCCAGGTCTAGTGTTAGTTCTAGTTTTAATTCAATAAAACTATACAACATAGCAGTATCTTATGCTAACTAGCGCTACCTACCACTGCCACTAGAACTAACACTAGACCGAGAACGAGAAACATTCAGATTTAGCCGCACGTCTCTCAAGACGGCTAAACCCGAATGATTCTAGTTCTAGGTCTTCTGTTAGTTCTAGTGATAGTACTGGTGTAAAACTAGGATTAACACTAGACCGAGAACTAGAAACATTCGGATTTAGCCGCACGTCTCTCAAGACGGCTAAACCCGAATGATTCTAGTTCTAGGTCTTGTGTTAGTTCTAGTGATAGTGCTAGTGTAAAACTAGAATTAACACTGGACTTAGCCGTGCGTCTGAGGACGCACGGCTAAACCCGAAGCTTTTTAGTTCTAGGTCTAGTGTTAGTTCTAGTTTTAATTGTTATTTAGCACTAGATTGTTGTTAATTCTTATTGAACTAAAACTAGACCAAGAACTAGAAACATTTGGGTTTAGCTGTTAGTTTCTTAAGACGGTTAAACCAAATTCGAATGTTTCTAGATCTAGGTCTAATATCAGTTCTAGTACGCACAATTATTTGGTTGCACTCTCCATAAATTATTATCAGATTCATAATCCTCATTACTAAATTCCAAATGTGGCATTTCTTGAAAACAGCTCACTACAAAAAGTCGTCACACTAACAGAAATAAACCATAGCCTTAGCAAATGTTAAACAGGTTATTTTTTCCATCATTCTTGTATCGGTATTTCTTGTGATTCCGATTAACATTTTAGCTATAGGATATTCCACATAAAATTGATCCAAAATTTTTCATAAAAATTAATTCATATGTTAGGGTTGCCATTTGAAAAAATTGATTTTTAGGCTTTTCTTAAGTTCAACTTTGATATTATAATTTGAACACCCTGTATATCATTTCGATGAACCTTAGTGGTCAATTAAAAAATAGACTATAGAAAATTTCAAAACATTGCGTGTCATCATTACGATCAATTTAGCAAACAATTCAGCGTATCAGCATTAAATTCCGATTTCCACGTGCATGCTCATGACTCTCTGTAGCCGGTGGTGGCCATATCGAGCGTCATATCGCGTTCAGATGCAACTATAACAGTAAACGTCGTCGTAATCTAGATCGTCCTCCAATGTAGCTGCCCGCGTAACATGTTCATACAACGGACAAGCCGCCCCGTTGATTATATTAAATTGAATAACGGGGGAGTGTGTGTTCGTACTCGTTCTTGCGCGAACAGGAAAATCTGGGTTAACATTATACGAGAGCGTAAAAAACATTCGTTTTGACGTGCGTTTTAAAATAAAATATTTTTTTACTTACAAGCAACTTCTATGGTGGCTGGTTGGCTTTTGCTGGTACCTCTGGCGCCGTTATAAGCATGACACTCACATTTAAATTTGTCTTTACCAAAGTATTCCTCAACCATATCCCTTGTAACATTGATTTCCGCTTCAACAATTCGCACCCCACTTTGCGGATCAACAAAACTCATCGGGATCGTTTCCAATCGTTCACCGTTACATTTAAAGTATACTTGAAGAGCGTGTGCCGCTTTGCATCGTAAAGTGGCCGGTCTCGTTTTAACAACAAACGCATCTGAAGGTTCTTGAAGAAATAGAGGTTCTGAATCTTGAATTGTGAGTAAAGTGTCTTCAGGTTCCTCCGAGGATTTCGTTGGTGCTGGATCTTCGATTTTATCGTCAAGAATATGATCGTCTGTAACAAAATAAAATAAAATTATGTGATTCAATTAGCTATGATTTAAGGAATGACATTTTTTGAGGTTAGATTATACCAAATTTTGAGTTTTTACATGTACCATATATGCGAGAAAGTAAAATGTTGTGTTGGATAAACGTTGTTTGTGAAAAAATTCTGAGAATAGTTTGAGGCAAGAACAAAGCTACCGTGTCGCTGTTAAAACGTCTAAATTAATATTAACGACCTACGGACCTAATGCAAATGGCTAGGGTCGTTCCAAGACTGGTTGTCCTGCGAAGCATTGTCTTCTCCTATGGTGTAGTGGGATGCGTGTGTCCTTTGGGTTGTTCTTTTTTTTGGGTCCGAATTAAAATTCAAGCCCGCTAATGTCGCATCTTCTTTTTTGCGGCCGGTTCTGCCTGTTCCGTTCGTCGACGGTTTTGTAATAAAAATGCAAATCCGGAGGAGTTTGTACAAAACCCTCCTTCACGCTCGCCGACTCTCCGCCGTGTATCTCTGTGTATTTTAGCGATGGTGTTCCGAAATTAACCGTGATTTTTTTTTCAGTAGGCAACAGACAATGGACCTCTGTCGTATTCTAAAAATATCATTACAACCCCAAACGGCAATATATTTCCGTCGAAATTCTTCTCTCCAGACTTTGTGCGTTCCCGGTGAAATATAACGGCTTTAAAATACCTCATTACGTTCGTTGAGCTGGGATTTACATTGTATGTCACCGCGGTTTAGTGTCTGGGCGAGGCCGATTCAGGTAGTAGCCAAACTGCAGTAATTTCCGTTGATTATAGCTGCAATAAAAAAGTTTCTTCTTGATCGCGGCGAAAAACTCTACCTGGCATTCAACTTTCTTGCCAAATCCATTTATCTTCGGAGATATTACCCCGGCTTTGGTTTCGGCCGCGAACCTAATTAACACTTAAGTGTTTCAGAGAAAAATCATGATTCCTCTTGATACCATAAGAGTATTATAAAAGTCCCACCCATGAAACGAACACCGTGAACTTTAATCCTCAATAAATTTGGATGTTTATAATGCTACTTATTTGTTAACTCAACCTTAATTCTTTAACACTTCAACCACGCTTCTTATACTCAATCTCTTGAAACTATAATTAATTGCGTTCTTTAAAATTCCTATCCTAAATCGTAACGTACCAGATTAAATAACGTGCATATCTGTTAACTATTTTTCATTGCAGACGTATGCGGTTCGCCAACAAACAACGCTGATGCAGAACCGACCATCAATTATCAGAAGAGTAATAAAAAATCGTAACGCCCACGCGGCCATAAAGCTGCTAGGCCACTAAAAACAAACAGTTTCAGAGGCCACTTGCTGACCGTTCCTCGTACAAGTTTGAAAAATCGCGTTCCGGAATCCACGTGAGAAGACGACCCTTTAACACGCAAACTTCTTCGTATAACTAAGAAGTAACCAAGAAGAATCCAAGAAATATCCACGAAACGAATTTATCAAAAGACGTATCTTAGAAAGTGGTTGTGTTGTGGTGCGAACAAGTTTATACCGGGCGGCGAGTACCGCAAAATAAATTAACGTAATTAAGAGAATCATGTCAGCAGATACGTATTTAATGATATGTTGGACCAGATGAATCTTCGGCCATTAATTATTCCAGTTCAACTGGCCGTCCCGGCGTATTAATATGTCGTTAAGCTCCGGTGCCTAACACGGCGTATAATGCTCGTGGAACGCTGATTACCGGCGCCTTTTTGCGCTTGTCCGCCTGTCGTCGTTGACTCTTGCGAGTTTATTAAATCGACCAATTATTAACTGTCGTTTCATGGTGATAACTCTAATCTGGTATTTTGTCACCTTCTTATTTCTTTACTTTTTTAGAAAACAATGAAAATTTCATTCCATCTCAATCTTATTTCATCTTAATACAATAAAACCTCGATATAACGGAATCTAAGGAGATTGCTACATCGCGGGAGCAGATGCACACCTCGAAGGACCATTAGTGACGTCACGTATAGGTAACCAAAAATTGGGTAAATTTCAAAAACCATAACGCTTTTATTTATGAAGAAAAAGAAATAATTTATATATGAAATTAAAGCTGAAGATGTCTACTTCCGAAACGTGTATTATATTTATATATAAAAAAAAAATAGAGAAAATTATTAATGAATATCATGACGATTATTAGATAACCAGATGGTACTTAAATTTCAAAAAATCATAACTGCGTTGTTTATGGAAATAATTTATATCTCAAATTAAACCTGAAGATGTGTTCTTTCGAAACCTGTATAATATTTAAAAATGGCATATAAGAAAATTTTGAGAAAAAAATTAATGAATATGACAACGTTTTTTAGATAACCAAAAATTAGGTAATTTTCAAAAAACTATACCTAACTCTTTTATTTATGAAGAAAAAGATTTAATTTATATATGAAATTAAAGCTGAAGATGTCTACTTCCGAAACGTGTATTATATTTATAAATTTTATATAAAAAAAAATTGAGAAAATTATTAATGAACATCATGACGATTATTAGATAACCAGAGGGTACTTAAATTTCAAAAAATCATAACTTCGTTGTTTATGAAAATAATTTATATCTCGAATTAAACCTGAAGATGTGGTCTTTCGAAACCTGTATAATATTTAAAAATGACATATAAGAAAATTTTAAGAAAAAAATTAATGAATATGGTTACATTTTTCAGATAACATAAAATTAGATAAATTTCCAAAAACCATAACACCTTTATTTATGAAGATAAATAAATAATTTATATATGAAATTAAAGCTGAAGATGTCCACTTCCGAAACGTGTATTATATTTATAACGTTTATATAAAAAACTTTTGATTGAGATATGAAAAAGTATGGTGATGTTATTTTTTTTGGATAACGTACAAGAAAGTAAATAAATATATAGGAGTAGCATCATTGATTTTATGTAAAATACCCAATCAAGAGAACCTCCTTTGAAAGTCTAAACGCGTCGCGGCAGCTACCGGAACGAAAAAGCGTTTTAAATTGAAAAACATAAAGATCGTATCAGTCTTGATAGAGGTACCACCGGACTCTCTCCAGAGAAGGGGGTCTATGTCGAGCGTTTACGACGACCGGGCCGCGGTGATCGAAGATACGGTGAATTGCGAGAGATGCTACGATTAGCTACTCCTTTTTCCTTCAGTGGTCGGGGACCGCGGGCGAAGAGCCTCTCCGTGCGCCGCTCGAATACCAGTAGTAGCCGTCGAGGAATGCGCAATTTATCGAACTCATAACACTAAATAACCTGGCGAGTACCTGCGGGCTAAAATTAAGTGACGCCCACGCGGCGGCCGCGAGAGAAGAAGCCAATTTATTGCGCGAGCCTCCGGTACCGTCGCGACCACTAAGCGCTGCTTAAATAATATTTTAGCCGAGCTGAGTATAAACTAAGGCATAACGATAAATCGAGAGCTTTTTCTCAACTTTCGATGCTACCAAGTCTTAATCTTAATCTTTTTTAATCTCCCTTTTCGTAAGTAGGTTTAAACAAAATTTTTTTGCTAATAATAGCGTTCATTCATTTCTAGAAATCAATGAATTTTTCGCGTAGATACTTGTTCAAATATTGATCGTGCACTCGACAAATTGGCCTCTCGACCGATTTTTGCCCCATTCGGAACGTAGTCGTTCACTCGTATAACGGCAAATAGAGATATCGACCTTATCTCGCGCTTTGCCATTTCCGATTGAGACGTCCATTGTCGGCACGTCTCGTGAGAGACTCTCCATCCTAGAGTTATCTCTTTCGCGGTCCACCGGGTTGTGGTTGGCGCCAAATACAACTATCTAGAGTTTTGTCGAGTGCAGCCCCAGATCTTTTTCTTATCAAGAATAAATTCAATCATACAAACAATAACATTGGTTTAAGGTGAATCAAACTTTTTTGCTAAACCTTTATAAGAATACAGTAATACCTCGATATAATAACAGTGGTAGTGTAAAACTAGAACTAACTCTAGAACTAGAAAGTTTCGGGTTTAGCCGTGCGTCTTCAGACGCACGGCTACTAGTTTTAATTGTTATTCAGCGCTAAATTATTGTATATTATTAAACTAAAAGTGGAACTAACACTAGACCTAGTGGAAATTAAAAAAATTTCATATAAGGCACTTTTGGCTACAACCCTTCCCCGTTTTAATCCGTTATATCAATGTTTTACAGTATTTTAATAAACTGTACTCGAGGAGCTAAAACAAAAAAAAATACATACAAAGTTGTGGTTTATTTCTGTTGGAATATCCACAACTTTACCACTATTATTCAGAAGCCAATTTTGCATGCCATCACATACGTTTAGGTATTTATGTGAAAAGGAAGCATTAGTCTCGCCGGTTTTGCAAGCACACAGGAGTAAACTCCAGGTAGTACGAACAAACATCCATTAAAAAGTGCTTGGGGGCAAACGTTTCCGAACCAGCACGTTTATTGGGAAGTGTTCAACGTGTATGATTTATCGTGTGCGATGTAGAATAGCGTCGAGACGCGCGTAGGATGAACTCGCGCGGTAGTGGTGTTCTCTTAAAGCGGTCAGATTAAAGCGAGTTCACGTTTCTTTGCGGCGGAAAATCCTCTGCGTACACACGTATCTCTCTACAAAGAGAGAGAACGGATTTTTTCAATCCGGACCGCCGTACATCGTCCTAAATCAAACAGTGGGACGAAAACAAACCCGGACTCTGTACGGTTGTCGATTTTTCCGCGTATCGCCTCCCACAGATGTCACTTGAGCGTGTTCTTCCCACAGGGCCGGGCATAAATAAATGTCGGGGACCGCCTTCTCTGTGTCCCCGGAACGCTTCCTCCCCATAAGTGACAGATCGCTCCCGAATGAATTTCGCCGAAACCCTGGTATTGTTTAGCTACATAGAAATACCATTAGGCCGATTTCAATTAGCCGAAATCTGCGTTTGATCTGCGCGGTACCGTTCGTGATTCATTTTAAACCGTTCCACTCGATTTA